TGCCTCTCTTGTCCTCGGAGTATTTTAGGTTACCATCTGGAGTTTACCTGGAGAGAGTTCCGGGTGTCAACGCCCCACGGCCCGGTCTGTGACCAGGCCTCCTGGTGGATCAGAGCCTGATCAACCAGGCTGTTACTGTTGGCTGCACGCAAACCAACGTACGAGCCACAGCCTGGCTGGTCAGGAACCGACTTTAGGTGCTTGTCCAGTGCCAGCTTGAAGACTGCCAGGGGTCTGTTGGTAATCCCCCTCATGTATGCTGGGAGGCAGTTGAACAGTCTTGGGCCCCTGACACTTATTGTATGGTCTCTTAACGTGCTAGTGACACCCCTGCTTTTCATTGGGGGGATGTTGCATCATCTGCCAAGTCTTTTGCTTTCGTAGTGAGTGATTTTCGTTTGCAAGTTTGGTACTAGTCCCTCTAGGATTTTCCAGGTGTATATAATCATGTATCTCTCCCGCCTGTGTTCCAGGGAACACAGGTTCAGGAACCTCAAGCGCTCCCAGTAACTGAGGTGTTTTATCTCCGTTATGCGTGCCGTGAAGGTTCTCTGTACATTTTCTAGGTCAGCAATTTCACCTGCATTGAAAGGTGCTGTTAGTGTGCAGCAATATTCCAGCCTAGATAGAACAAGTGACCTGAAGAGTGTCATCATGGGCTTGGCATCCCTAGTTTTGAAGGTTCTCATTATCCATCCTGTCATTTTTCTAGCAGATGCGATTGATACAATGTTATGGTCCTTGAAGGTGAGATCCTCCGACATGATCACTCCCAGGTCTTTGGCATTGGTGTTTCGCTCTATTTTGTGGCCAGAATTTGTTTTGTACTCTGATGAAGATTTAATTTCCTCATGTTTGCCATATCTGAGTAATTAAAATTTCTCATCGTTAAACTTCATATTGTTTTCTGCAGCCCACTGAAAGATTTGGGTGATGTCCGCCTGGAGCCTTGCAGTGTCTGCAATAGAAGACACTGTCATGCAGATTCGGGTGTCATCTGCAAAGGAAGACACGGTGCTGTGGCTGACATCCTTGTCTATGTCAGATATGAGGATGAGGAACAAGATGGGAGCAAGTACTGTGCCTTGTGGAACAGAGCTTTTCACCGTAGCTGCCTCGGACTTTTTACTCTGTTGACGACTACTCTCTGTGTTCTGTTAGTGAGGAAATTATAGATCCATCGACCGACTTTTCCCGTTATTCCTTTAGCACGCATTTTGTGCGCTATTACGCCATGGTCACACTTGTCGAAGGCTTTTGCAAAGTCTGTATATATTACATCTGCATTCTTTTTGTCTTCTAGTGCATCTAGGACCTTGTCGTAGTGATCCAATAGTTGAGACAGACAGGAGCGACCTGTTCTAAACCCATGTTGCCCTGGGTTGTGTAATTGATGGGTTTCTAGATGGGTGGTGATCTTGCTTCTTAGGACCCTTTCAAAGATTTTTATGATATGGGATGTTAGTGCTATCGGTCTGTAGTTTTTTACTGCCCCCTTTGTGGAGTGGGGCTATGTCTGTTGTTTTTAGTAACTGTGGGACGACCCCCGTGTCCATGCTCCCTCTCCATAGGATGGTAAAAGCTCGTGATAGGGGCTTCTTGCAGTTCTTGATGAACATGGAGTTCCACGAGTCTGGCCCTGGGGCAGAGTGCATTGGCATGTCATTTATCGCCTGTTCGAAGTCATTTGGCGTCAGGATAACATCAGATAGGCTTGTGTTAACCAAATTTTGTGGCTCTCTCATAAAAAATTCATTTTGATCTTCGACTCTCAGTCTGGTTAGCGGCTTGCTACGCAGAGATGATTAAGAATGACTTTCATTTATACTCTTTTGATTAAGATGTTATGCCAGTTATAGAGGTATGATGAAGGTCTCATATTGGGACTTGAGTAGCTCACTCATTTCCTTGCTGTCATCTGTGTAGGACCCATCTTGTTTAAGTAGGGGCCCAATACGGGACGTTGTTCTCGACTTTGATTTGGCATAGGAGAAGAAATACTTTGGGTTTCTTTCGATTTCATTTATGGCTTTTAGTTCTTCCTGCGATTCCTGACTCCTATAAGATTCCTTTAGCTTAAGTTCGATGCTTGCTATTTCTTTGACCAGTGTCTCCCTACGCCTTTCAGATATATTGACCTCTTTTAGCCGCTCTGTTATTCTTTTCCATCGCCTGTAAAGGGAGCGCCTGTCCCTTTCTATTTTACATCTACTCCTCCATTTTCTTAGAGGAATAAGCTATCAAGGTTGCCACCTATCTAGGTTGCCACCTATCAAGGTTGCCATCTATCAAGGTTGCCACCTATTATGGTTGCCATCTATCAAGGTTGCCACCTATCTAGGTTGCCATCAATCAAGGTTGCCACCTATCTGGGTTGCCATCTATCTAGGTTGCCACCTATCAAGATTGCCACCTATCTAGGTTGCCACCTATCTGGGTTCCCATCTATCTAGGTTGCTCTTTACCTCCATCTTTAGTTCTATTGGTCACAGTTTCCATGGCTTGCTCCCAGAAAAGGCCTCAAGGTTGATTGCTAATCATTCAGGTTGTTGGTGTTAGGTGTATGCAACCCAGTGGTTGAACCACTGTTTAATGATCAGGAACTGAGTTGAGTAGCTTCAAGACAGCTAGGGATATGTTGGTAATTTTCCATTTGTATGAAAGGAAGGTGTTAAAAGTCTTGATTTCTTTACACTTATTTAGTTACCTCTAAGAGTATATTTTATACTCCTTTCTACTGGAGTATATTTTGCACCATCTGCAGAGTCTCTAGCTTCATATGGAATTATTTTGGTGTGTTGATTGGGATCAATCCCTCAAGAATTTTCCAAGTGTAGATTGTGGTGTAACCTACATACCAGGGAATACAGTTTGGAGGGTTTTAGGCATTCCCAAAAATTTAGGTATTTGCTTACTTTATATGCATCTGCTTTAAATGAGGCTGTAAGTGTACAGCAATATTTCACTCTAAGGGAAACTAATGACTTAGAGACTGTCATCATTGGATTGGAATCTAATATTTTGAAGATCCTAGTGTTCCTGCCTATCATGTTTCTTCATGGTTGTGATAACCCTGTTGGGATCCTTGACTAACATTTTCTAACATTATATCACTCCTAAGACCCTCACATAAATCATCCTCTCTTTTGAGTGGTCTGAGTTTGTTCTATTTGCAATTCCAGTTTTTATTTCTTTAATGTTTCCTCACTGGAGTAGCTGAAGTTTGTCCTCATTGAAGGTCAAATTGTTTTCTTTGGCCCATTGGAAAAACCTCGTTTATACTAGCTGGAATTGATAGATCTTGGGCTGCATAGGTATCTACCATTTTTGTTGAATAAAATGTGAAAACTGAAATACTGATTTTCAAGCAATAATTTGTGAATTCCTGTTTCTTATCTGATTGGCTTCAAGTCTTCAGTGCTGATGCAGCTTACTTAAAGGAACCTTTGGGTTGTTATTGGACTGTATTGATGCCAAGTTGCAAAATTTTACTTGAACCTTTTGCATATCCTTATCAATAGCTCATAGAAGCTAGGCAGATTTCAATTTCTTTAAGAAATTATAATTAGATAATAATAATAATAATAATAATAATAATAATAATAATAATAATAATAATAATAATTAATAATAATAATAATTACTTGTATGAACATGTTATACAGGAGTGAATGGAGACAAATGGTTATTATTGGATGTGCTATTTGAGTGTGAGCAAGGTAACTTTTTTGAAGGGATTCAGAGGAAACTTTTTGCCAAATTTGTGTCCTGGAGGAAGGGGCAAGGATGTTGCAGCCGGAGAGTAATCTGAATTGCAGTGTCGGCACACTTCTGGAAAGATAACAGTTGCATGAATGATGATGAATGTGATTTCTTCTTCATGGTGTCCTATAGCTTGGTTGGTAGCATGCTCAGTTCACACACTGAGGTCTGTAGTTTGATCCCCAGTATGGGTAGAAGCATTGGATTTGTTTCCTTAAAACACATATCCCTGTTCACCTAGCAGTAAATAGATACCTGGGTGTTAGCCAACTGATAGGGGTCACATCCTGGGGACAAAATTAATGTAAGTTGCCTGAAATGCTCTGCATAGCCAGGGGTTTTCTATATAGTACTTATATCATTGATGTCATCTAAGTCTGTATAAGTTGTATCATGTACTTGTAGAAATAAAGATTATTGTTAGTATTATTATTTGGATGAGGCACAATAAATACTAATAATAACAATAGTAGTAAGTACGTATAGATAAATAAGACGTGCAACGTCTCATCAAGGCTGAGGAACTGAGCACATCAAATAATCCTCCATTTCCAGTATTGTGGCTCTGTATTGGGTTGATAATGGCACTATTTGTCAAAGCTTCTTCGTAGTATGGATATGAAAGGGTTGCACATGTATCTTAGTCATCTAACAAGGTTGGAATTATTATTGGAATACGGGAGGGCCCCGCTTATATAGCAGGTTAGGTTCTGGGCTACTGCCGTAAAGTGAAAATCACTGTAAAGTGAATCATAGCCTTTATCATTTTTAAATGCTTATAAAAGCCTCATAACATGTTTATACTATCATATATTAAGTGAGCATTATAGCTAGGTTTAAAAAATGCATATACAGTGCACACATTACTTACAGTGAGTTTAGGAAATCTGAATAACAACCCTTTCTCCTATATAAATTACTAAATTTAAAAAGAAAAACTTTCATTTTTCTTTTTAGATCATCCTGCCTCGTTGGGATACAGCCAGTTCATTGAAAAAAAAAAGTCTGAATAAATGAAGAATAGGTATAATTGAAAACTGCTCCACTTGCAAAATGCTGTTGTGAAGCACTAAAGCAGGGCATGCCTGTATGTAGGTGCCATATTTGTCAGTATTGTTCATATTGTTTTAGGCTTCCATCTACATTCTTTTCGTCACCATTTTCCTTTCTTTACCTTTCCCTCTCTTCACCTTTCCCTCTCTTCACCTTTCCCTCTCTTCACCATCTCCATTCCACAGTGATGGAGCATAAGTACAAGTCACTGCTGCAGAACCTGCCATGTCGTCACATCATGATAATGGTAGAGTCGACAGATAACAAGGTTCGCCAGCAGACTAAACGACTCAAGGTGAGCTGCCACCCTGTCCATTCTGAGAAAGAAAATAAAATATATTGGAATAAATTTTACTATAATATGATTAGAGCAGAGTCCTACAAAAGAGTTACTCATGCTGTACTCTCTCATAATGCTTATAATGATTGTATGTGTTAGGACTAGAATTAATTAGTACAGTAAGCATTCTTATGGAAGTCCTCTATAAAGTGTGATTTTTTGTAAATACGAATGAAAAACTGTACCAAAAAAATTAAACAGCGTATACTATAAGGGCTTTTGCATGCACTATTCAGTTTTAGATATACATACATTTTCAATTGTGCTGACAAAAAATTGCACTCTATAGATGAGCCTTATGACTCACGAAATTGTAATAACAAACAAACTCACGGAATGGGTAGGGTAGAATTTGTACCCTGGAGTTTAAAGACTCACTCCCCATGGGTTCAAATCCCACCTGGTCCATGGTTTAGGTGAGCCTTATAAGAGAGCTGACTGTGATTAGTTTACCCAAAATGCATTGCATACCAGTGGCTTTCTTTTTCTGTCTACCAATGTTTTATTGTATGTAAACTACATTATTTTGTACTGCATAAAGAAAAATAAAAAACTGTATTTATATGAAAGTTTTAGGATCAGTTTGTCCAAAATGCTTTGCATAATAAAAATAATAATAATGTATCTTTCTTTTGAACAGGCAATTGTATCAAATTGTGTTGGTATCTTAAATGTATAAAAACTATAACCAAATAAATTGTAAACTTAGCTTTTGTAACTTTTTTCTTACACATTTTATTTTGTCTCTTGCATCTTCCACCAGGATGCAGACATTGTCAACTTCTTCGCAGTGGGTAGTCAGAAGACCATAAGCAAGGTCCTTGATGCTGCTACTGCCAATGATATGTTTGGAAGGAAGTACGCCTGGTATGCCCTCTCTAAGGTACAGTCTCTGTCTCTAATGTATAATCTCTCAAATTTATGTTCAGTACTGTATGAGCACTCTTTCAGGTTGACTCTCATGGTGTAACTCTCTCTAATTACAATCTAAGGTACAGTCTCTCTCTAGGGCTAAGGAACAATCACTGTCTCATACTCTCTCCTTGGCCTATACCTCAATAACAACCTAAATTTCAGCACCCATATCCAACACATAACAAAAAAAGTATCCAAAATGGTGGGGATCCTCTCCAAGATACGATACTACGTGCCACAAACTGCCCTTCTCACACTATACCATTCACTTACATATCCATACCTCACCTATGCTATCTGTGCTTGGGGTTCAACTGCAGCAACACACCTAAAGCCAATAATAACCCAACAAAAAGCTGCAGTAAGAATAATCACTAAATCCCATCCCTGGCAACACACCCCCCCACTCTTCATAGATCTAAACTTACTCCCTGTTCAGAACATCCACACTTATTACTGTGCTATCTATATCTACAGGACCTTAAATTCCAATATTAACCCTGACCTAAAATGCTTTCTTGAAGGTTGTGACAGGATCCACAGGCATAACACCAGACACAAACATCTCTATGACATTCCCCGTGTCCGACTAAACCTTTACAAAAATTCAGTGTATTTCAAAGGACCTAAAATCTGGAACACCCTACCTGAAAACTCTAGAACTGCAGACACATTCATCACTTTCAAAACTACAGTTAGAAAACATCTTATCTCCCTGATACACCCCGACAACTAACTACATGATAACCACCTGGTGGTTACAATTACACTCACTCACCCACTGACTATAAACACAGAAATACTAATCTTAATCTTAAAATAATGAATCCTTACTAGTCATAAGTTTGCATATGATACTCCAATATAGACAATTTGTATTGTGCTAAAACAAAAGCAAAAAGAGAAGAAGAAAAACTTTATAAAACTGGGATGCTTGAATGTGTGTGGATGTAGTGCGGATGACAAGAAACAAATGATTGCTGATGTTATGAATGAAAAGAAGATGGATGTCCTGGCCCTAAGAGAAACAAAGCTGAAGGGGGTAGGGGAATTTCAGTGGGGGGAAGTAAATGGGATTAAATCTGGAGTATCTGAGAGAGTTAGAGCAAAGGAAGGGGTAGCAGTAATGTTGAGGGATCAGTTATGGAAGGAGAAAAGAGAATAGAATGTGTAAATTCAAGAATTATGTGGATTAAAGTAAAGGTTGGATGCGAAAAGTGGGTCATAATAAGCATGTATGCACCTGGAGAAGAGAGGAATGTAGAGGAGAGAGAGAGATTTTGGGAGATGTTAAGTGAATGTATAGGAGCCTTTGAACCAAGTGAGAGAGTAATTGTGGTAGGGGACCTGAATGCTAAAGTAGGAGAAACTTTTAGAGAGGGTGTGGTAGGTAAGTTTGGGGTGCCAGGTGTAAATGATAATGGGGGCCCTTTGATTGAACTTTGTATAGAAAGGGGTTTAGTTATAGGTAATACATATTTTAAGAAAAAGAGGATAAATAAGTATACAAGATATGATGTAGGGCGAAATGACAGTAGTATGTTGGATTATGTATTGGTAGATAAAAGACTGTTGAGTAGACTTCAGGTTGTACATGTTTATAGAGGGGCCACAGATATATCAGATCACTTTTTAGCTGTAGCTACACTGAGAGTAAAAGGTAGATGGGATACAAGGAGAATAGAAGCATCAGGAAAGAGAGAGGTGAATGTTTATAAACTAAAAGAGGAGGCAGTTAGGGTAAGATATAAACAGCTATTGGAGGATAGATGGGCTAATGAGAGCATAGGCAATGGGGTCGAAGAGATATGGGGTAGAATAATGTGATCCTTTATTGACTACGTTTCACCCACACAATGGGCTTTTTCAAGTCACAAACAGAACTACCTGGGGTGGAAGGAACGCGAGTATTGGTAGTCCGGTTCAGAATGCTGAGGTCAGGTGAAGAATGCTGCATCTGATGATGTACCGAGTGGGGTTATAGAGTCTAAAAACTTGGGTAGCTTGGAAAGGAGATTGGATAAGTTTGTGAGCAGACCTTCTACAGTGTTCTTATGTGGGATAGCGATGAAGAAGTTTCTTGGCAAGTGGTTCAGCTATGTTATAGAAGCCACTATTCTGGTTGAAGTTGTCGGATATAGAAATAAGTGATGATTCCAGGATTCTTCGGTATTGAGTGTTGTCTTCTGTGGCGATAAGTCTTGAGTTTCTGTAGTTTATCAAGTGATTGTGTGAATTACGGTGTTGTACGCAGGCATTCCTTGTGTCGTCAGACCTGCTTGCGTATTGGTGTTCTGAAACACGTGTTTGGAGGTCCCTTGATGTTTCGCCCACGTATAACTTGTTGCAGTCATTACAAGGGATTATGTAAACCCCTGCAGAGGATGGAGGCTTGTCCTGTCTACTACTGGTGATGTCCTTGATGGTCGTGGTTGTGGAGGTAGATACTTGGAATGATGTTTTGGCAAAGATGTTGGAAACATGTTTGGCAATGGAGTTGGTGGGAAGGACTATGTATCTCTTCTCAGGCAGTGTCTTCTCTGGGTGTGTTGAAGATGTTTAATGCCCGCGTCTGCAGTCTCTGATGAAGTGACGAGGATAGTGGAGTTTAGAAAAATATTTGTTCAATTATAGTGCATTCTTCCTCAAGGAACTCGTTGCTGCAGATTCTGAGTGCACGCAGGAAGAAGCCTATAATTACACCACGTTTGGTTTTGGTGTCGTGGTGAGAGTAGAAGTGGAGAAGATCGTTTTGGTTGGTGGGTTTTCGATAGACTTTAAAACGAAGTTCGTGGTCAGCTTTGCAGAGCAGGACATCAAGGAAAGGAAGAGTGTTGTCGACTCTTCTTCAAGTGTGAACTGGATTGAAGGCTCGACCTGGTTGAGCTTGTCTGGAGAGCTTGAACGTTGAAGCGTTTAGGAGTTATGAGGAGAATGTCGTCAACATAACGGAGCCAGGTGACAGACGAAGGAATAATGGTGGAGAAACGTTCGGCTTCTAGATGTTCCATGTATAGGTTCGCCAGGACTGCACTGAGTGGCGAACCCATGGGTAGTCCAAAAGTCTGCTGAAAGAGGTGATTTTCGAAAGAGAAACACGTAAAACCAACACATAGTTCAACAAGGTCGATGAAATCGCTGGCTGGAATGGGAAGATCAAGTGAATCGTCAACCAAAACGATCTTCTCCACTTCTACTCTCACCACGACACCAAAACCAAACGTGGTGTAATTATAGGCTTCTTCCTGCGTGCACTCAGAATCTGCAGCAACGAGTTCCTTGAGGAAGAATGCACTATAATTGAACAAATATTTTCTAAACTCCACTATCCTCGTCACTTCATCAGAGACTGCAGACGGCGGGCATTAAACATCTTCAACACACCCAGAGAAGACACTGCCGAGAAGAGATACATAGTCCTTCCCACCAACTCCATTGCCAAACATGTTTCCAACATCTTTGCCAAAACATCATTCCAAGTATCTACCTCCACAACCACGACCATCAAGGACATCACCAGTAGTAGACAGGACAAGCCTCCATTCTCTGCAGGGGTATACATAATCCCTTGTAATGACTGCAACAAGTTATACGTGGGCGAAACATCAAGGGACCTCCAAACACGTGTTTCAGAACACCAATACGCAAGCAGGTCTGACGACACAAGGAATGCCTGCGTACAACACCGTAATTCACACAACCACTTGATAAACTACAGAAACTCAAGACTTATCGCCACAGAAGACAACACTCAATACCGAAGAATCCTGGAATCATCACTTATTTCTATATCCGACAACTTCAACCAGAATAGTGGCTTCTATAACATAGCAGAACCACTTGCCAAGAAACTTCTTCATCGCTATCCCACATAAGAACACTGTAGAAGGTCTGCTCACAAACTTATCCAATCTCCTTTCCAAGCTACCCAAGTTTTTAGACTCTATAACCCCACTCGGTACATCATCAGATGCAGCATTCTTCACCTGACCTCAGCATTCTGAACCGGACTACAAATACTCGCGTTCCTTCCACCCCAGGTAGTTCTGTTTGTGACTTGAAAAAGCCCACTGTGTGGGCGAAACATAGTCAATAAAGGATCACATTATACTCCATTTGTGTTTATATTTCCATTGTGTCGGTATTTTATACCATTTATTTCCAGGTATGGGGTAGGTTTAAAAATGTAGTGTTGGAGTGTTCAGCAGAAGTTTGTGGTTACAGGAAGGTGGGTGCGGGAGGGAAGAGGAGCGATTGGTGGAATGATGATGTAAAGAGAGTAGTAAGGGAGAAAAAGTTAGCATATGAGAAGTTTTTATAAAGTAGAAGTGATGCAAGGAGGGAAGAGTATATGGAGAAAAAGAGAGAGGTTAAGAGAGTGGTGAAGCAATGTAAAAAGAGCAAATGAGAGAGTGGGTGAGATGTTATCAACAAATTTTGTTGAAAATAAGAAAAAGTTTCGAAGTGAGATTAACAAGTTAAGGAAGCCTAGAGAACAAATGTATTTGTCAGTTAAAAATAGGAGAGGAGAGTTATTAAATGGAGAGTTAGAGGTATTGGGAAGATGGAGGGAATATTTTGAGGAATTGTTAAATGTTGATAAAGATAGGGAAGCTGTGATTTCGTGTATAGGGCAAGGAGGAATAACATCTGGTAGGAGTGAGGAAGAGCCAGTTGTGAGTGTGGGGGAAGTTCGTGAGGCAGTAGGTAAAATGAAAGGGGGTAAGGCAGCCGGGATTGATGGGATAAAGATAGAAATGTTAAAAGCAGGTGGGGATATAGTTTTGGAGTGGTTGGTGCAATTATTTAATAAATGTATGGAAGAGGGTAAGGTACCTAGGGATTGGCAGAGAGCATGCATAGTTCCTTTGTATAAAGGCAAAGGGGACAAAAGAGAGTGCAAAAATTATAGGGGGATAAGTTTGTTGAGTATACCTCGTAAAGTGTATGGTAGAGTTATTATTGAAAAAATTAAGAGTAAGACGGAGAATAGGATAGCAGATGAACAAGGAGGCTTTAGGAAAGGTAGGGGGTGTGTAGACCACGTGTTTACAGTGAAACACATAAGTGAACAATATTTAGATAAGGCTAAAGAGGTCTTTGTGGCATTTATGGATTTGGAAAAGGCGTATGACAGGGTGGATAGGGGGGCAATGTGGCAGATGTTGCAGGTTTATGGTGTAGGAGGTAGGTTACTGAAAGCAGTGAAGAGTTTTTACGAGGATAGTGAGGCTCAAGTTAGAGTATGTAGGAAAGAGGGAAATTATTTCCCAGTAAAAGTAGGCCTTAGACAAGGATGTGTGATGTCACCGTGGTTGTTTAAGATATTTATAGATGGGGTAGTAAGAGAAGTAAATGCGAGGGTCTTGGCAAGAGGCGTGGAGTTAAAAGATAAAGAATCACACATAAAGTGGGAGTTGTCACAGTTGCTCTTTGCTGATGACACTGTGCTCTTGGGAGATTCTGAAGAGAAGTTGCAGAGATTGGTGGATGAATTTGGTAGGGTATGCAAAAGAAGAAAATTAAAAGTGAATACAGGAAAGAGTAAGGTTATGAGGATAACAAAAAGATTAGGTGATGAAAGATTGGATATCAGATTGGAGGGAGAGAGTATGGAGGAGGCGAATGTATTCAGATATTTGGGAGTGGACGTGTCAGCGGATGGGTCTATGAAAGATGAGGTGAATCATAGAATTGATGAGGGGAAAAGGGTGAGTGGTGCACTTAGGAGTCTGTGGAGACAAAGAACTTTGTCCTTGGAGGCAAAGAGGGGAATGTATGAGAGTATAGTTTTACCAATGCTCTTATATGGGTGTGAAGCATGGGTGATGAATGTTGCAGCGAGGAGAAAGCTGGAGGCAGTGGAGATGTCATGTCTGAGGGCAATGTGTGGTGTGAATATAATGCAGAGAATTCGTAGTTTGGAAGTTAGGAGGAGGTGCGGGATTACCAAAACTGTTGTCCAGAGGGCTGAGGAAGGGTTGTTGAGGTGGTTTGGACATGTAGAGAGAATGGAGCGAAACAGAATGACTTCAAGAGTGTATCAGTCTGTAGTGGAAGGAAGGCGGGGTAGGGGTCGGCCTAGGAAAGGTTGGAGGGAGGGGGTAAAGGAGGTTTTGTGTGCGAGGGGCTTGGACTTCCAGCAGGGATGCGTGAGCGTGTTTGATAGGAGTGAATGGAGACAAATGGTTTTTAATACTTGACGTGCTGTTGGAGTGTGAGCAAAGTAACATTTATGAAGGGGTTCAGGGAAACCGGCAGGCCAGACTTGAGTCCTGGAGATGGGAAGTACAGTGCCTGCACTCTGAAGGAGGGGTGTTAATGTTGCAGTTTAAAAACTGTAGTGTAAAGCACTCTTCTGGCAAGACAGTGATGGAGTGAATGATGGTGAAAGTTTTTCTTTTTTGGGCCACCCTGCCTTGGTGGGAATAGGCCAGTGTGATAATAAAAAAAAATAAAAAAAAAAATAAAACAAAAACATTCACATTGCTAAACTCACAAATTATAATGTAGTCACCTTGCCTTAATACCATAATCTGTATGGATTTAATGTTAAGAATTAATCTAAGTCTGCCCGAAATGCCTAGCCATGCTAGGTGTCCTAGTGGCCCCCTCTGTAATTAGTATTTTATAACATGTAACCCACACAATATCCAAATCCTGTAAACCCCACATTGTAACCCTTATAGAGAATAAACTTGATTTGATTTGATTTGATTCTGTCTTTTAAAGTATATTACACAGTATAGGTAATATACTTTAAAATTATAGTTGCCACAGTCTGGAAATATCACCTAATGACCCAAGCCTAGTCACTGTGGAAGTGTAACATGATGATCTGGTCCTATGTGCCACTGTTTGATTGTGTCACAAAGTAACCTGGTCCTGGTTGCTACTGTCAAAGGAAGAGGTCACAGGTACTACTTTTGCTTTTGCAGGATACTGATGACATCCAGTGTGGGTGTGAGAACGCTTCCGTTGTATTCATGTGGCCACGTATCAGCCCTGACACGCGCGGGAGGCTCACCATGCTCCAGAAAGACTTCCAGCTCTCTGCCACTCCTGCAATAGACTCAGCTTTCTACTTTGACTATGCCATCAGGGGTATCAAGGCTGCAGCGTGAGTTATGCCTCTGGTTGTGTACAGTTCTGCTCCACTGCCAACTATAATCTCTGTTTGAATGCCCTTAACTGTGGAGCTATACGTATATTGTGAAATAATATAAATGTGATGGGAAAGGGCTGGATACTGAAATATTTGATTACATTTTAAGATTATAAATTTGCTACTGGATTATCTTGTAAGTACAATTGTCAAAGCATGCAAATTTTGAACAATTGAGAAATGTGTACTTAGAGTTTCCATAATGTGGTTATCAAAATACTTCATGGAAGCTCATAGTTCTTATTGAAAGGAAGGCCATGGTGGTTTAGGAAAGTGTCCTCAAAGAGCAGTGCTCGATGTCATGGCAGGTAGTGTTCAGTGATGCTCGAATAACTTACCGATATGATCTCTTTCCTACAGCAACTTGGCTAAGAGCGGCAAGTATAGCAGTTTTACATACCTGAAGTGTGATGCCTTTAGCGAGGACAACCCTCCAGTCAGGGACGACTTTGACCTTCTCTCTGCCCTCAAGTCGGTGAGTTGAATGAATGCACATATTGTTGAGTCTATGGGAAGTCTTTGCATATAGACTAGAGATTTTACACTTTATTAGCAAGCAAACCACTGTGAAATTAGTAGGTTCATTTGGGCTCCTTTTGGATTTTCAAGATTTTTGCTGTTATTATAGATCACATAAGGGCACTTACTATGGTGGCAGGGGCATCTGCTGCAGTGGCAGGCAAAATTATGTTTTCAAAATATTTTACGTAAATGCACAGCAGTTTGGGCATCTGCTTTGGGCAATATCTTTTCTCAGTACAACATGAAGCAGGGCTCGATATGGCATAAGCCTTCAATGACCCTTCTAAACCCAACAAGAATAACAATCATGTCAGTGGGAATAGAGGGCAGGGTGGATATGGAGAGGCTAACATCCTTTATACTACCATTTTCTATAAAATAATAGGTCCTGGGTTACAAACAACTCCCTCATAAATTAAACATAGGAAACGTTACTCATTCATAAATAAATAAATAAATTGAAACACAAGGAACATGATTTGTTCATGAGTTATAAAACTCATGTTTACCTGGAGTTTACCTGGAGAGGGTTATGGGAGGGTCAATGCCCCCATGGCTCGGTCTGAGACCAGGCCTCATAGTAGATCAGGGTCTGATTAACCAGGCTGTTACTGCTGGCCACAAGTGAACTGACGTACGAACCACAGCCTGGTTGGCAGGTACTGACTTTAGGTGCCTGTCCAGTGCCTTCTTGAAGACAGCCAATGGTCTATTGGTAATCCTCCTTATGTATGCTGGGAGGCAGTTGAACAATCTTGGGCCCCGGACACTTATTGTGTTGTCTCTCAGTAACTATTGGATCACTACGACAAGGTCCTAGATGCACTAGAAGACAAAAAGAATGCAGATGTAATATATACAGACTGCAAAAGCCTTCGACAAGTGTGACCATGGCGTAATAGCGCACAAAATGCGTGCTAAAGGAATAACGGGAAAAGTCGGTCGATGGATCTATAATTTCCTCACTAACAGAACACAGAGAGTAGTAGTCAACAGAGTAAAGTCCGAGGCAGCTACGATGAAAAGCTCTGTTCCACAAGGCACAGTACTTGCTCCCATCTTGTTCCTCATCCTCATATCTGACATAGACAAGGATGTCAGCCACAGCACCGTGTCTTCCTTTGCAGATGACACCCGAATCTGCATGACAGTTTCTTCCATTGCAGACACTGCAAGGCTCCAGGATTACATCAACCAAATCTTTCAGTGGGCTGCAGAAAACAATATGAAGTTTAACGATGAGAAATTTCAATTACTCAGAAATGGCAAACACGAGGAAATTAAATCTTCATCAGAGTACAAAACAAATTCTGGCCACAAAATAGAGCGAAACACCAACGTCAAAGACCTGGGAGTGATCATGTCAGAGGATCTCACCTTCAAGGACCATAACATTGTATCAATCGCATCTGCTAGAAAAATGACAGGATGGATAATGAGAACCTTCAAAACTAGGGATGCCAAGCCCATGATGACACTCTTCAGGTCACTTGTTCTATCTAGGCTGGAATATTGCTGCACACTAACAGCCCCTTTCAATGCAGGTGAAATTGCTGACCTAGAAAATGTACAGAGAACCTTCACGGCGCACATAACGGAGATAAAACACCTCAATTACTGGGAGCGCTTGAGGTTCCTGAACCTGCATTCCCTGGAACGCAGGCGGGAGAGATACATGATTATATACACCTGGAAAATCCTAGAGGGACTAGTACCAAACTTGCACACGAAAATCACTCACTACGAAAGCAAAAGACTTGGCAGACGATGCAACATCCCCCCAATGAAAAGCAGGGGTGTCACTAGCACGTTAAGAGACCATACAATAAGTGTCAGGGGCCCGAGACTGTTCAACTGCCTCCCAGCATACATAAGGGGGATTACCAACAGACCCCTGGCAGTCTTCAAGCTGGCACTGGACAAGCACCTAAAGTCGGTTCCTGACTAGCCGGGCTGTGGCTCGTATGGTGGTTTGCGTGCAGCCAGCAGTAGCAGCCTGGTTGATCAGGCTCTGATCCACCAGGAGGCCTGGTCACAGACCGGGCCACGGGGGCGTTTAGCCCCGGAACTCTCTCCAGGTATACTCGTGGCGCCCCTTCTTTTCATTGGGGGAATGTTGCATCTCCTGCCGAGTCTTTTGCTTTCATATGAAGTGACTTTCGTATGCAAGTTTGGTACTAACCCCTCTAGGATTTTCCAAGTGTATATTATCATGTATCTCTCCCGCCTGCACTCTCGGGAATACAGATCAAGGGCCTTTGACCGTTCCCACTAATTTAGGTACCTCATTGTACTTATGTATGCCATGAAAGTTCTTTGTACACACATTGTGTGCCGTGAAATTTCTTTATACACACACTGATTAGTATCTACTCACCAGGTGTCAATGACCAACACCTTGGGCAACATCAAGTGGGGTGGCAATGGCATGACTTTCATTGACATGACGCTCAACATGGACAAGTTTACCATCCTGAGAGGAAAGACAGCTGAACGTAGGTCCCTGGGTGAGTGGGCAGTCGGCCTGCCTGGCACTCTCGCCTTCAAGAGTGGCATGTCTCTTCAAGATTTCAAGGTGAGTTTTTATTTTTATTATGATACATGTATCTGCATACCTCTGGTATAGTGTGAGTGATGGTGAAAGTGTTTCTTTTGTGGGTCATCCTGCTTCGGTGGGAGATGGCCAGCATGTTAAAAAATAAAAGCATATTGTATGTATGTATGTACAGTATTTATTGTATTTGAGCCCTTCTGCAAAGGCAGTGATTATGTGTGAATGATGGTAAAAGTGTTGAATGGTGATGAAAGTGTTTTGTTCTTTTTTAGATCACACTGCCCCTATGGGAGATGGCCAACATGTTGAAAAATAAAAAAGTATGTACAGCCTCTTCTCACTTAGCGACTTACTTGTTTACCGATGCCTTGGACTTACAACGGGCTCTTTGACCAATATTCATACCTAAATAATGTATGTTTATTAGAGCTGATTTCCTTATTCTTTTTATTTCATTATACAATACACTACTGTATAAATATGTAAAAATATACCAGAAATGTTTATAAATGGTGCAAAGGTGACATTAAAATAATATCAAAGATGGTTGACACAAACTCACTATCATTATACGTAGTATGCTCCTCACTTAGCAACAAATTCATTTAACGACGTGGTCTTAGGAACGGAACTCCATCGTTAAGTGAGGAGAGGCTGTACAGTATGTATACAACTTTTGTTTTTCTATATTGTATTTAGTTATCCAAGCCTTTGAGAGCATGTCTAATATTTTCATTCTATTCATAACTAATCTTCAGTTTAGAGAGGACACTGTCTTGAGTACATCTTGGACTGCAGTGCTACCAACTCTGTATTTGTAAATTACATTTCTTATGCCTATTTGTTATTTTCCTCTTTCTGCTTTATGCCTGAGGTGTCTTGGCTTTCTCCCTACCAGATTTTTATTTTCACTCTTGTGAACTTGATCCCACCACCCCCTCTTATTGTTAAATAGCTATATGTACCCCTATCATCCTTTCACTTCATCTTCACTGTCCCCCCTTACCTTTACCTAATCCTAACCATCCTCCATTGCTTTCACTTAATCTCTACTGCCCTCTTTTAATTCACCTAATCTTCACTATCCTCTCTTCCATTTGCTCTATATCTTCCATCCTCTCTTTCCATCATGAAATCCCCACCATCATCTTTCATTTATCTTTTTTGTACCTTCCTCTTTTGTTCACCTAATTCCTACCATATGCTCTTCCTTTCACCTAATTTTGTCCACTTTTTCACCTTCCCACTCACACTGTGAGTGGGAAGGTGACCCCTACTTCCATTTTCTCCAGCTCATCTTCCCATAACTCCTTACCTCTGCTTCTTCTGATCTCTGCACCTTTTCCCTCATTACCATTTATCCCTTTTTCCCTCTCACCTTCTCCCTTCATCCCATCCTACCTCTTCCCTCTTACTAATCCTCTCTCCATCTCCATCCTTCTTCTTCCTTTCTTCGTCTTTCCCATCCCGTCCTCTTCATCTTACCAATCCTCTCCCTGATTTTCTCCTTCTTCCTTCCTACCTTTTTTGTGCCCTGTGCTCCTGTCCTGCTTCTCCATGCTCAGTACTGAGAATGTTGTCCTGCAGGCAGTCACGGTGTACAGGGTGACCACAGTGCAGCAGCCGCCCTTCATCATGAAACGTATGACACCTGATGGGAAGCCTGAGTTCTATGGCTACTGCATTGACCTCATCAATGAGATAAAGTTGATTGTCAAATTTGAGTACGTATGTCCTCCATCCAGATGTTTGCTAAAGCTCTTAGGTCAAACGTAGTAGACTAGGAAGTGGATAAGGGAAAGGTGGGTTCTGAAGAGAATGCAGGTCATCAAGAGAGCTGTGTTCTTTGAAGACTACTATAGTTATCAGTAATTTTTTTTATATTTTTCTTTAACGAACTGGCCATATCCCACTGAGGCAGGGTGATCTAAATGGAAAAACGAAAGTTTTCCCTTTAAATTTAGTAATTTATACAGGAGAAGGGTTACTACCCCCTTGTTTCCCGGTATTTTAGTCCCCTCAGTAAAGATATGTTTAAGATTTTTTTGGATTTTTATCCTAGAAGTTAGCCACACAGGAAAAACCCCAGGAAATAAATGCTTTGGATGAGATGTTTCAAATTATCCAGCTGCTTCAGTTTCATAGCGATAGCAACAAATACCTTTCAGAGGGGTGAATTGATGATTATGAATGGCTCTTGATCCAAATGCAGCCTAAAAATCTGTCTTTTTCTTTTTCTTTGGGCTTTGATGCATTATAAAATTTTTATGGCTTGTGGGCTTGGGTAAGATTTGTGAAAAGAAATTCTGTACATTAATTTTCAATCTCTTTTACTTAGCCATTATTTCATCCTTTAAGAAATATTCAGGGCTGATGTTCGCCTTGGGTATACTGTACATAAAATATGAATTTAACATTTCCATGGGGAAGTGGAAAAGAATTCTACCTTCGTAAGCCATGCTTGTCGTAAGAGGTGACTAAAATGCTGGGAGCAAGGGGCTGGTAACCCCTTCTCCTGTATAAATTATTAAATTTTGGTCACCCTGCATTTGTGGGATACAGTCAGTTCATTAAAAAAAAAAAGGAATTTAACAAAGTACCATATACAGTTTACCAGAATTATTAATAAGGACTGTTACAAGACTGTAAAACTTGCCCCTGGTTGACAATAAGTACACTGTTACCAGAATATTGGTGGATTAGTTGTTTAAAGTGGCTGATTGCTTTGTGGCAAGTGGGAAGGGGAACGATTATATTAGTTGTACCCCACCAGGAGGTAACCTTGGTGGCGATGAAGGTGTACCCCCCCCAGGAGGTAACCTTGGAGGCAGATGAAGGTGTACCCCACCAGGAGGTAACCTTGGTGGCAGGTGAAGGTGTACCCCACCAGGAAGTAACCCTGTGGCAGGCGAAGGTGTACCCCACCAGGAGGTAACCTTGGTGGCAGATGAAGGTGTACCCCACCAGGAGGTAACCTTGGTGGCAGATGAAGGTGTACCCCACCAGGAGGTAACCTTGGTGGCAGGTGAAGGTGTACCCCACCAGGAGGTAATCTTGTTGGCAGGCGGAGGTGTACCCCACCAGGAGGTAACCTTGGTGGCAGATGAAGGTGTACCCCACCAGGAGGTAACCATGGTGGCAGGTGAAGGTGTACCCCCCCAGGAGGTAAAACCCTTTGGGGCAGATGAAAGGGGTACCCCACCAGGAGGTAACCTTGGTGGCAGGTGAAGGTGTACCATACCAGGAGGTAACCTTGGTGGCAGATGAAGGTGTACCCCCACCAGGAGGTAACCTTGGTGGCAGGTGAAGGTGTACCCCACCAGGAGGTAATCTTGTTGGCAGGCGAAGGTGTACCCCACCAGGAGGTAACCTTAGTGGCAGATGAAGGTGTACCCCACCAGGAGGTAACCTTGGTGGCAGGTGAAGGTGTACCCCACCAGGAGGTAACTTTGGTGACAGGTGAAGATGTACCCCACCAGGAGGTAACCTTGGTGGTAGGAGAAGGTGTGCCCCACCAGGAGGTAACCTTGGTGGCAGATGAAGGTGTACCCCACCAGGAGGTAACCTTGGTGGCAGGTGAAGGTATACCCCACCAGGAGGTAACCTTGGTGGCAGGTGAAGGTGTACCCCACCAGGAGGTAACATTGGTGGCAGATGAAGGTGTACCCCACCAGGAGGTAACCTTGGAGGCAGGTGAAGGTGTACCCCACCAGGAGGTAACCCTTTGGGGGCGGTGAAGGTGTTTCCCCACCCGGGGGTAAAACCCTTTGGTAGTAGGTGAAGGTGTACCCCACCAGGAGCTAAAACCCTTGGTGGCAGGTGAAGGTGTACCCCACCGGAGGTAACCTTGGTGGCAGATGAAGGTGTACCCCACCAGGAGGTAACCTTGGTGGCAGGTGAAGGTGTACCTCACCAGGAGGTAACCTTGGTGACAGGTGAAGGTGTACCCCACCAGGAGGTAACCTTGGTGGCAGATGAAGGTGTACCCCACCAGGAGGTAACCTTGGTGGCAGGTGAAGGTGTACCTCACCAGGAAGTAACCCTGTGGCAGGCGAAGGTGTACCCCATCAGGAGGTAACCTTGGTGGCAGATGAAAGTGTACCCCACCAGGAGGTAACCTTGGTGGCAGATGAAGGTGTACCCCACCAGGAGGTAACCTTGGTGACAGGTGAAGGTGTACCCCACCAGGAGGTAACCTTGGTGGCAGGTGAAGGTCTACCCCACCAGGAGGTAACCTTGGTGGCCCGATGAAGGTGTGCCCCAAACCCGGAGGTAACCTTGGTGGCAGGTGAAGGTGTACCCCACCAGGAGGTAACCTTGGTGGCAGGTGAAGGTGTACCCCATCAGGAGGTAACCTTGGTGGTAGGTGAAGGTGTACCCCACCAGGAAGCAACCTTGGTGGCAGATGAAGGTGTACCCCACCAGGAGGTAACCTTGGTAATAGGTGAAGGTGTACCCCACCAGGAGGTAACCTTGGTGGCAGGTGAAGGTGTACCTCACCAGGAGGTAACCTTGTGGCAGGCGAAGGTGTACCCCACCAGGAGGTAACCTTGGTGGCAGATGAAGGTTGTACCCCACCAGGAGGTAAACCCTTTGGGGGCAGATGAAGGTTTTACCCCCACCAGGAGGTAACCTTGGTGGCAGGTGTAGGTGTACCCCACCAGGTCACCTTGGTAGCAGGTGAAGGTGTACCCAACCAGGAGGTAATTTTAGTGGCAGGTGAAGGTGTACCCCACCAGGAAGTATCCTCGTACACATTGTTATGCAATTGTTTTGTCCTTACCCAGTTACCTATAGTGGCAAAATTAATAATAACTCACTCTGGCTAGAAAGTCCACCTGTTCATATTCAAATTCAAATTTTTATTTCTTTGCAAAGTTTACAGTGTGTGACTGACATGTTATAAGGAGACTATTTCCATGCATAGTTTACAATGTTTAATTGCAACATTGATTTGCAAAGAAAGCCACTATCATGTTGAGGCATTTCGGGCAGATTAAACCTAATACATTACAAACTATACTTAATACTAGGTATATATGTCAAAAGAGATTGTAAAAATTATAGAGGAATAAGTTTACTGAGTATACCAGGAAAAGTGTATGGTATTATTATTGAAAGAATTAGAGGTAAGACAGAATGTAGGATTGTGGATGAGCAAGGAGGTTTTAGAGTGGGTAAGGGATGTGTAGATCAAGTGTTTACATTGAAGCATATATGTGAGAAGTATTTAGATAAAGGTAGGGAAGTTTTTATTGCATTTATAGATTTAGAAAAGACATATGATAGAGTGGATAGGGGAGCAATGTGGCAGATGTTGCAAGTATGTGGAATAGGTGGTAAGTTACTAAATGCTGTAAAGATTTTTTATGAGGATAGTGAGGCTCAGGTTAGGGCGTGTAGGAGAGAGGGAGACTACTTCCCAGTAAAAGTAGGTCTTAGACAGGGATGTGTAATGTCACCATGGTTGTTTAATATATTTACAGATGGGGTTGTAAAAGAAGTAAATGCTAGGGTGTTCAGGAGAGGGGTTGGATTAAATTATGGGGAATTAAATACAAAATGGAAATTGACACAGTTACATTTTGCTGATGATACTATGCTTATGGGAGATTCTAAAGAAAAATTGCAAAGGTTAGTGGACGAGTTTGGGAGTGTGTGTAAAGGTAGAAAGTTGAAAGTGAACATAGAAAAGAGTAAGGTGATGAGGGTATCAAATGATTTCGATAAAGAAAAATTGGATATCAAATTGGGGAGGAGGAGTATGGAAGAATTGAATGTTTTCAGATATTTGGGAATTGACATGTCAGCGGATGGATTTATGAAGGATGAGGTTATTCATAGCATTGAAGAAGGAAAAAGGGCAAGGGGTGCGTTGAGGTATATGTGGAGGCAAAAGACGTTATCTATGGAGGCAAAGAAGGGAATGTATGAAAGTATAGTAGTAACAACACTCTTATATGAGTGTGAAGCTTGCGTTGTAAATGCTGCAGCGAGGAGGAGGAGGTTGGAGGCATTGGAGATGTCCTGTCTAAGGGCAATGTGTGGTGTGAATATTATGCAGAAAATTCGGAGTGTGGAAATTAGGAAAAGGTGTGGAGTTAATAAAAGTATTAGTCAGAGGGCTGAAGAGGGGTTGTTGAGGTGGTTTGGTCATTTAGAGAGAATGGATCAAAGTAGAATGACATGGAGACCGTATAAATCTGTAGGGGAAGGAAGGCGGGGTAGGGGTCATCCTCGAAAAGGTTGGAGAGAGGGGGTAAAGGAGGTTTTGTGGGCGAGGGGCTTGGACTTCCAGCAAGCGTGTGTGAGCGTGTTAGATAGTAGTGAATGGAGACAAATGATATTTGGGACCTGATGAGCTGTTGGAGTGTAAGCAGGGTAATATTTAGTGAAGGGATTCAGGGAAACCGGTTATTTTTATATAGCCGGACTTGAGTCCTGGAAATGGGAAGTACAACGCCTTCACTTTAAAGGAGGGGTTTGGGATATTGGCAGTTTGGAGGGATATGTTATGTATTTTTATACATATATGCTTCTAAACTGTTGTATTCTGAGCACCTCTGCAAAAACAGTGATTATGTGTGAGTGAGGTGAAAGTGTTGAATGATGATGAAAGTATTTTCTTTTTGGGGATTTTCTTTCTGTTTTGGGTCACCCTGCCTTGGTCTGAGACAGCCAACTTGTTGAAAAAAAAAAATATGTCATAGTTGGTTCGAACTGA